AAAATCTTGAAGGCTGTTAGGAGATTTATTTATCTTATGTGGATTTGTTTGAATTTTTATTATGATGCTTAAAATATTTTTTCGATGAAAATACGTGAAATATGAAATAAATTTGTTTAACGATAAATTTATGCAAATTATGTATTCTGTCTCAATTCTAAGGGCGAAACCATGGAGGGTGGTCGAAAAAGATGTTAGATACTTTCCCAAAGGATTTTTCCCAAGTGGCAACTTCCAAAAGGAAATTTCACATTTGGGAAGGGTAATTTCCCAAGTGGCAACTTCCCAAATGTGAAATTTCACAAGTGGAAACTTTCCAAGTCTGTCCTAGCTTGTATCAATGCCAAACCAATTGGCACTATCTCAGCTTGTATTCAATGAGAACCAAATTACTTCTAATACCGGAATCAAAGCAGAGTCTCAATCAACTGACTTTATTTAATATCTTATGTCACAAAGTTAACAGGAATTGACTTAGTTACAATTCTTGATATTATCTATATTACATGATTGAGACCATGATTTAAGCTAATCATGTTAAGTATTCAATTGAACCCCAGTTTCAATGAATAATGTCATTATGCCAAAGTTTACAACATCAAATCATTAATAATGTACAACGTACTGCAAGTTTACAGAATATCATGTTTACACGATATAACTTCACAATGAAATAAAATTCAATTATATGTACTTTGTATTACTGCATATTGTATAGTCATCAATAAAAATGTGTAAAAACATATAACGACTTGAGAAACATAATTGATTGTTTTCCGGTGCATTATATATCTAAACTATCAATAAATCTATCCATATATCTATCTATCTATCCATATATCTATCTATTTATGTAACTATCAATATATATGTTCCGTATAGCTGGCCGAATGGGCGGACATTTTAAATGGTACTCCATTTTTTTAATTCCACGGGCAACGCCGGGCACTTCAGCTAGTCTATAAATATATATTTGTATATATATGTTATAGCTAGCTAATTGGTTTTAACGAATTGTTTTTTTAAGACCCATGCGTGCTCTGGGGGTAACATAGGCTAATAAAATAAGAATTTTTTCTCAAAAATCAATTTTTTTAAAATTCCATATTTTTTCCGGGCAATGCCGGGCTCTTCCGGATCGGTTAAGCTGTTTTGACGTTTAATGAATACAAAAAAATACCAGCAGACAAGTCAAATATATAAATATCAATATATAGGCTGTGAAACCTGAATCTTTTTCAGCCATTTAATCTAATCGAATATGTTATTGCCATTAATTCGCTTATTGAACAATATCAATAAATTTAATGATTATATCATTGATTTTGTACATCTTGCAAATCTATAAAATCCTGTAACTAAAATGTTCATTGTTAATGAAATGAGTAGAAAGTATGAAGGATGTCTACAAAAAAATATTTTTGTTGAAAATTCTAGTCTAACGGGGCAGACAAAAAACTTGTGTCAAATTCATAGCAATTTTTTATTGACATTTGAAGTTTTGAAAATCTTTGGATGGTTTTTGCGCTAGCAGATCAGAGATTTTTCATAGAGCTAATGTCCCAATATCGTTTTAAAATGAGACTGAGGATTTTCAGAAACACCCTGTATGTAGTTTCAATAGTGGCTGAAGATGCCATAATTAACTCAATTATTTATAACTTTATTTTTATACTTTTTGTTTTGCAACTAGTTTTGAGCTTTTACCGTTTTCTTTTTGTTTCCTGATTACATGTGTCCAGGAACATTTATAGACCTTGGTAGTCTTCTTTTTGTTTCCTGATTACATATGTCCAAGAACATTTATAGACCTTGGTAGTTTCATTTTTGTTTCCTGATTACATGTGTCCAGGAAAATTTATAGACCTTGGTAGTTTCATTTTTGTTTCCTGATTACATGTGTCAAGGAACATTTATAGTCCTTGGTAGTTTTCTTTTTGTTTCCTGATTACATGTGTCCAAGAACATTTATAGACCTTGGTAGTTTTCTTTTTGTTTCCTGATTACATGTGTCCAAGAACATTTATAGTCCTTGGTAGTTTTCTTGTTTTTCCTGATTACATGTGTCCAAGAACATTTATAGTCCTTGATAGTTTTCTTTTTGTTTCCTGATTACATGTGTCCAAGAACATTTATTGTCCTGGTAGTTTTCTTTTTGTTTCCCTTGATTAAATGTGTCCAAGAACATTTATAGTCCTTGATAGTTTTGTGTGATTCAGTGATACAGTGATAACCAGAAAACTCTGAAATAGGAAGGCGACTTGTAGAATCAAGTTATGACTTTAAAAAGTCCAATGAGCAGAGGACACAGAAATTTTGCAGTGTAAACAGACCCATTTCACTTAATTAGTGATTTAATAAGTGTCTAGTAAAGCTGTCTTCTTTGTAACAACATTAAATACACTTAAGTATTGCTATAAAGTCGTCTTTGTATTTCAGAGTTTTCTGGTTATCACTGTATAACATAGTATCCTAATATAGCGAATTATATCTTTTTCTTGCTTTTCTTAACTCATTAAAAATGTTTTGCATAAAAAATTGATTTTTTGTGCATTAAATTTATTTTTCCAATGCACTGCAAACTAGACAGCAGGAGAAGAAAATATTCCAGGTACTAATGCAAGGAAAGTTAATTGCGGTCGCGTTTACTCTACGTACATATTGAAACCAGTTCTCTCTGGCGGGCGGAATTTATAAACAAGAATAGATGCATTAGTGTTCGTTTTTTATCGGAGAAGTTTAAAAGCATTGAATTTTGATAGTTTTGAAAAAGTTTTCTATGACCAGAAAAGTTCATTGATTATTTTTGTGAAAATGGATTCCATGTCAGGCTGTGACATCCGTCTTTTGTTCACTTTTCCGCCCAAAGCCAGTACACTGCAGTACAAAAAATGCGTACACGTCTGAAATAACTTTCCTTGCATTATTACCTTGGTAAAATCAATGTTACATCGCCGTTACAACTTTATTACCTCGTCGTATCTCATCTAGCTTTGCTTTTACCCACAAGTATAAAAAGAAAGTTTATTCGGATTCACTTAGAAATTCAATTTGCTCTTTAATAATTCTTCAATGAAAGGAGTTATGATTAAAAACAAATAAGGTTTTTATTTTGCGTGAAATTTACTTTAGTTTGACGTGGATGCAACTTTATGATGTGTTTAAGAATATATTAGTTTATGAAACATCCGTTAATTTGTTTACATCCATGGAAGAGGATAGTTTCAATATCAATTTTATTATTTTTATACTTCTCTAAGTGTGTTATTAAAACATTTCAGATTGTTGATTTAACATCAAAATGGAGAAGGGGTGGGGGGGGGGGAAAGGGAGTAGTGCAGTAAAATATAGATGGGAGGGGGGCGCAGGAAGGAATGCATTGGATAAACATGTAATGTTAATAATTGTGAAAACAGATTATAAAAAGTAGAAACCAGAAAACTGTAGAAAAGAAAGACGACATTTAAGCATTATTGAAGTGCTGTTGATGTTGTTACGAAGCAAGTAAGTTATTAAATCACTTATTTAGTAAAATGGGTCTGATTACACTGCACAATTGTTGTGCCTAATGTAATTGGACTATTTAAATACAGAACTTGAGTCTAGAAGTCGATTTCCTATTCCGGAGTTTTCTGGTTATCACTGTAATTGTCGATTGTGGTTTCTCTACAGAAGTAACTTCCGCATTTCTAACGCAAGAAAATATTTAGGAATTATCAGAATTTTTCCTTTTTAAGCCGAGAAAAATGAGGCTTTCTTCCACATTATTGATCAGCTAAATAAAGATGGCAAGGCTACTGTTGCGAATCAGACATGGCAATCTTTTCATGGAGGGTAACTTGAATTTACATTTACAGTTTAATTGTCCTCGCCGTAATTCCCTCAAATATTTTATTTTCATCTGGAATCAGATATTTAAAATCTTTCTTTTCAAATATCTGAGGGGGCACCTATAGTTAATTTGAAATCAAATGTTTTGGTAAGAGTCCTAATTCATATAAAAGAATAAAAAACTAATGTGTGTCTAAAGATTGATTATATATTTTTAAGAAAATTTAAAGTTTTTGGTTTATTTCAATCATCATTTAGATTTACATGGAGTTTAAAAATGCAATCAGATTTTATCTTTTTCAGTTGAAAAGTTGCATTCTTCCTGTCATTAACATATGCTAATCCATCTTTACTTCTGTCAACAGGCATCTATCTTGCAAACTATCTATCTATCTATCTATCTATCTATCTATCTATCTATCTATCCATCTTTCTATCTATCAGTTATATATTAACTTTAGGCTGCGCCGTAAATATATTTAAATACTTTGCGATTCCTTTCTGACCTAAACATGTAAACAGAAATCTTAATTTAAATCTTTTTAAAGTTCTTATCTGTGTTTGTTGTATAGGGTGTCCCACATCATATTGGATTGTTTTACCATTAAATTTTGAAATTTTGAAAATAAAAGGTTCATTGGGCATTCTAATTGACATTTTAAAGCAGGATAAAGACCTATATGACATGGAATGGTTAAAGGGTTTGTTGAATTCAAGATAAAGAAATCTTTAGTTTTTATGAATATTAGCTAGAGCGCCCGGTGTTGCCCGTGTAATGAAATAGCTATCATATAAATTAGCGAAGATTTTTATTATATACAAGATGAGTATTGAGTAGACAAAAACGTAGGTATATACCAAAGAAAGGTAGGTATATATACCAAAGAAAGGTAGGTGTTTAGCGACGGCTAAATAAAAGACAAAAGTCTATGAACAACTAACTATATTTTTCATATCAATAAACAAAGAAACAAAAATACTAATATGGCGACTCTTTATGTACAACACATGAGTTTTGATCTGGTAAGTACTTGCAGACATTACGGCAGAAAGTAGGACGACTTGTCCGCCACAGGACTCCCCCCAGAAACCAAGGCGGAGGCGAGGTTTCTTAAATAACTCCTTGCTGTTCTGTGAGGATTTCTGCGAACAGGAACTGCAGGCTGAACTTAAAAACGAACCTTCCTGACGACTCGAGGCGGAGCTGAGACGGATGTATCTGTTTTTGGACTCTGAGGACGGAGGATTGGACGACCACGAGCAGGAGGCCTGGCGGGAATGATCGTGGAGTCGGATATCACTGGTTTGAGTCTGTCAACGGATACCACATCAACCTTGTCACCAATCTGGAGGCGGAAAAATTTGCTCTGACGTTCCAGTACTTTATAAGGACCTCTGTATAACGGAGAGAGGGCGGGAACGGAGGCATCTTCACGGACAAAAACAAAATCAGCTTGGAGAAGAGACTTTGGTAGAGGTTTAGGAGCAGCGGGAGCTACATGATGAGGTGGAGGGGCGGAGAAACCAGATGAACCTAACTGAATTTTCCTCAAGAACGAATCTGGTGTGAACTCTGGAACGCTCAGAAACTCTCCTGGAACGCTGAGAGCAGATCCATAAACTGCTTCAGCTGAACAAAAACCAGTATCCTCTTTAGGAACAGTACGAAGTCCCAGAAGAACCAGAGGCAGATGTTGGAACCAGTTTGAACCAGCTGCTCGAGCTCTGAGAGCAACTTTCAAGCTTCTGTGGAAACGTTCGATCATACCATTAGCCTGGGGATGATAAGAAGTTGTTCTGGACACCGTGATTCCTAGTTCTCTGCAAACTGCAGTCAGTCCAGATGGAGGAGATGAACTGGCTTCCTCTATCTGAAGTCAGAGTGTCAGGGACGCCGAACCTTGAGACCCAGGCAGTGATTGAAGATAACAGAACCACCTCAGGCCACATAGATTCAGCTTGCTCACAATAAGTCTTATAATGTTTAAGACAGGGTCAACTTTGAAGTGTCGCTACGCCTTGGGCTTTAATTTTATCGCCTAACTCACTTATGCTTTTCTGTAGCCCTTTACATGTACATTTTAGCCCTATAAATCATTTGTTGTTAGCTCCAATTTCAAGAAGTAATTGGCAAAATTCTCAAAGATTTTTGCTTGAGAGCTTGCAACCTTTAAATAACAGTGCTGCACTAGGTTATTAAATTGGTCGGTCTCTTTTACTTTTAATCCCAATTTGACTCACTAAATATAATATTTTCTTTTTTTGTGTTATCCTTTTTTGTCAGCGCCCGGTTGGTACGTTTCAAATAAAAAAGTAGAACTAAACTACTCTGTTTAAATATTGATTTAAAATTGAAGAATCCGAACACATCAAGCCCTGGTTAGTGGTTAGTCCAGGGTGGTATGTTTTTTATTGTGAATTTGTCAGTGCAGCAATCTCCATATTCTAATGTTTCGAACCACCTTCAAATATGAATCCTTGAACACAACACTGCATACTCAGTTCAACTACCTTACATAATCGGTCACTCCCTTTAAATTGAGTTTACAAACATTTATCATTAATAGGACTTCAGATTCAAAGATTGTATACTTTGAAAGTTTCTTGCAAGTACGAGTGTTATAGTGTGGCTCAGGCAAGAAAAAGAAGATTGTGGCTCGGACGAAAATTGTTATAGTCGGCCTTTCCTCCCTCGTATATATATATAAGTAGGTAAGTAAATTGACATTCCGATATATTACAAGCTAATGATGAAAAATTCGTATTTGAATGGAATAAATTTCCCCCAGGAGTTAATAACAGTTACAGGGCTAATATTCGTCGTACATTTTAAACAAACAAATATTAATCTTACAGTTTTGGCATTTATATATTACGGTTTTATATAAAATTTAGTGAAATAGATAATGTTATAATTGGCAGTGAATTAAATTAGATGAATGATTTCGGCAAAATCTATAATCTATCAATCTATCCATCTATCTATCTATGAATCCTATCAATATAGCATCTATTTATCTATCTAACAATCCTAATTTCTAAATCCATCTTGCTATAAATCTACATAAACACCTATCCGTCACTTTGTAAACCCACTTTAGAATAAAGGGACTGTAAGCTTAATTGCAAGTGACCTTCCATGCAAAAATGTGCGCCAATTATTTGCTTTTTTGATGTGATAACAGTTCTAACAGTTCAGTTGTAAACCTGAACAGTCGACACACCTATATATATTACGTTATACCCAAACTATGTTAATTACTGAGAAAGCTATCAGTTCTTATCATTAACATGTATTACAATTTAGTTTAATTACGTTCATCATTGTACTATAAAACCCATTATCAATTTAAATATACATTAGTTAAACAAAATCCTTTGTCTCCTGTAAGAGGGCAGAGTGTCAGCTCGAGTTGTATCTTGAAAGATGTATACAGATTAAAGGAACCCTGAGTTCGAGACTGAGTTGTATCTGTACAATACATATTACGGAATACTTAAATTGACGTAGTATTATTGAGGAACCTTAAGTTCGAGACTTTGTTGTATCTGTACTCTTGTTAACCATTAATTTCAAAACCTCTATAAAATGTCGTCTTATACTGGAATCTCCTGTCGGAGACAGCCAAACCAAATTTTCAGCCCGCAAATTCCATTGTCCTCCTCCGACGGAGCTTAAAATATTTTTGTTGTTGTGAAATCATTAAAGTTAAGCAAAATGTTTTCATAAGAAGCATAAGTGAATTTCGTTAAATATTCAACTGTAATTTTTCAGAAGTTAAAAAAACGTATATCAATACTGATCAACAAATAAGTCACCCCTTCTATACTTAAATAATTCGTAAGATTTTTTCTACTATTAACATTCATTATAACATTGTACAATTAAACATGACCTATAATTTATGTTATTTTTTAGGAAATAAAGATTTTGTTATCGAATTTCTGAGACGGGGTTACTCTGTTGTGTGTGTATTGTTCGGCCATCGGGAAAGAATTGTCTGGGGAAAATAAACACCCCCTTCTGAATCTTGACCGGCCTATTATCCGGATTTGTCTAGCGTGTTGCTGTTATCTGTCAACAACTCTGTAGAATACATATTAAGGAATACTTATAGTGACATAGTATTTTAGAGGGACCTTGAGTTCGTGATTGAGTTGTATATGTATAATGCATATTAAGGAATACTTATAGCAACGTAGTATTATTGAGGAACCTTGAGTTCGAGACTGAGTTGTATCTGTATAATGCATATTAAGGAATACTTATAGCGACGTAGTATTATTGGGGAACCTTAAGTTCGAGACTGAGTTGTATCTGTATAATACATATTAAGGAATAATATAGCGATGTAGTATTATTGAGGAACCTTGAGTTCGAGATTGAGTTGTATCTGTACGATACATATTGAGGAATACTTATAGCGATGTAGTATTATTATGGAACCTTGAGTTTGAGACTGAGTTGTATCTGTACAATACATATTGAGGAATACTTATAGCGACAAAATATTATTACGAAACCTTGAGTTTGAGACTGAGTTATATCTGTACAATACATTTTAAAGAATACAACAGCATCTTATCTGGATTGATACAGATTGAGTATTATTGATTTGACTAACGAGTTCCAGATCGAGTTGTATTTGTAGGATAAACATTGTGATTACAGAAGGTCATACCTGGATTGGTACAGACTTAAGAGAACTTATTGGAGTAAGGCATTCGCTAAATAAGGTTATAATTTGATAACATGTACTGCAGATTTCCACTCAAAAAATGTTGCGGGTTTTTGTTGTATATCAATAATTTTTTAATGATTTTTTATGAAAATTTTGGAAAACACAAAAGAGAAACCTTTTTTTAAAAAAAAATTTAGTTTCGTGGATTTTTTCCATGTTATAAAATAAATTCTGAATTTTTTCAAATTTCATTTATTTTTTTTAATGCCTAAAATCTGAACAAATAAAAGATTTTGAAAATTTGTCTAAAACATCGGTAATCCATATTTTTCTTGACGCACGCTGTATTGTATATTTATATATATAAATGAGCGAAGAGCTTTATTTGATAGATTTTATAAAAGTTATCTCTCCCCTGAAGATTATCCTGTTGCAATCCGTCTATTTATTTAAAATATTTGAAAATGGATCAAATTATTAATTAATTACGCCGACATCTTTCAATATATAAATATATCTTGACAGGATAGATAGATGGATAAATAGATAGATATTTTTAATTTATCAGGATTTTCTATATAGACCAAGTCAGCAGGAGTATCAGCGGAGAATTTCTTGACCAATTCAAGAGAATTTCTCGGAATTCAAGAATTTCTTTGAAAATTCTGAAGTTACTTAATACTAGAGCTACAAACTCTAATTTTAAAGTCTCTATATCTGTGCAACCTGATTATGTAAATCTATGATATTACAAACTTAGGCTCTATTTTCACAAAGTTCATTGTTTGAAGTATATTAGGTCCAGACAGCAATGTTGCAAAGATATGATAAAATATTTATGATAAAATCATAATTTGTGTTGAATGCTCAGTTTCATTGGAGATTTTACCGAAAAGTCCGTAAACAGTTTTGCCGAAACACGCCATCTTGGTAGCAGAAAAATTATGAAAATATTTTTGTTTTCCTCTATAAAAATTTCTAATTTCTAATTGTGGCCACTTTAAAAAGTGACCACAATTAGACATATCGATGTCCCCTAAACACTAGCTTGTAACTAGCAATGCCAAACCAATGGACACGATCTCGTAAGCTATTGATTTCCTCTAATAACTAGCTCGTAACTATCAATGCGAAACCAATTGGCAGGTTCTTATAAGCTATCGATGAAAGAAAGTGACCACAATTAGACATATCGATGTCCTATAAACACTACCTTGTAACTAACTATCAATGCCAAACCAATGGGCATGATCTTGTAGGCTATCAATGTTCTCTAGACAATAGCTTGTAACTATCAATGCCAAACAAATGGGCACAATCTTCAACTCATTTGTTTAGGAACAAGGACATGATTACTCTCTCGCAGTAATCAAAGCGGAGTCTCTATATTAATTAATATATTTGAGGTTTATATGTTACAAGTTAAAGTTAATAGACGTAATTACATTTCCTAAGTCATTATCTATAACACATGATTAAGACAATCATGTTACATATTTAAAGCACAGTTAAAATAGGCGCAATTAAGATTTTTCATGATATATTTCACATGATTAAGCTAATCATACTACGAGTTCATTTGAAGCGAAGTTCAAATGAAAAATGTGTTTCCGTGTTATTCGATATTTATAACAAACCCTGATGGTTTGCTATCTCAAATCAAATAATCACATGATGTTACAAAATTAGATACAGGGTTTCCTAGAAAAGTATGAGTTTTCAGAGAAGATTGTTCGGAATTTGTTTACTCCGTTTTCTTGCATTCAGGGTTCCTTGTACACCAAAACTGGTTTATTACTGTGCGCAATCATTTATTAAACCATCAAAATACTCAATTGAATGCAAGACCAAAACATTAAGCTTCAAATCGTCATATTTTAAGAGTTTTGGGTCGTCTTTACAGTCTCATCCTTTGTGGGTAACCTTGTACATTTAGTTGATAAGATTTAAAATTAAATACAGGTTCACACACAAAGGATGAGACTTCAGAGACGACTTTACAAAATATTCCATGGTTCCCTGCAATGTGTTATCTTTGTTTTGTCAAACCAATAATAAGCCATTAACCGGCTTTAAGGCAGAAGACTGAATTTAACCTAGAAATAATCATATTTTAAGAGTTTCAAGTCGTATTTACCGTCTTATCCTGGGGGGGGGGGTTACCCAGTTTATTGCTTAAATACATGTGT